GAGAATTGTTTCAATCCACTTGCAGTGTTACAGTTTCACGAGCCAGATGTTTGGTGCTCGTCTAATTTCCATTAAAATTATACTGCTCGTAAAATTTATTGTACAGCTAATACTTGAAACGAGATCGTTTAAACTAAAAAGTGAAAAGTCATTAAAATTACAAATGTAATTAATTTTATATCGTCTTTTCATACTCTAGTAACTGTGATTTCTAATGTAGTCTCCTAACAAGTGAACCTGAATTTTATCGTGTACTGTAATAAATCATGGCAACTCGGTCGTTGATGGTTCGCTTAACAGATTCTTTTCGTGCCGTTGACGCGCTCGAAGCTGATTCGCTTTCTCATAAATCTTCGTGGGAACATAAATTCCAGGGCTGGTAGGAAAGCCCGGTGAATTCTCTAGTGCCGACATTTATGAAGTGGCCGCGTTGCTCGACGCTTTTTTCCCAAAATAATGGGAGTTCCTTCATTAGAAATTACTCAAGCGCCGAGTAAAACGGAAGCGAAAAAAGGCCACAAGGGTGTACAATGGAAATTATTACGATCGTTTCGTTGCCGTTCCATTGAAAACGTCAGGATTTGTTTTCAACTACACAAAATACTTACCTTTAATATTTCAGAATTTTGGTAGTCGAAAAATCATTTCGTTTTTCAATTTCTGCGCAATAAATCGTGCAAGGTGTCCCCAGAGTACAAACACAAATGAAATTCCTTCTGTTTCGATTGAAACCCGTTTTTAACCAGTCCCAATCGCATGATTCGTTCTGTATATTTCACAAGTTTCTGCCGAAACAAACACACGGCTTCTGAGAGAAAAAAAAACCGCGAACAAAGCGGAATATGAAAAAGTGTTCGTTCGAAAAGTTCTATTCCCCACAGTATCGAGCCAATATACGAACGTTAATTCCATTCATCGACTCTTGGAGAGGAAGGAAAAAAGTCGACGAGGGTGGAACGCGCGATTCCCCTTCGCGATTTCATCGAAGGAAACGGGACGCGGAGCTGCTCGTAACACGCGAAAAGGCATTCCACGTGGCCGAGATTAAGCGGGAATATTTAGCAAATGTTTCGCATAAATCAAAGCGGCGCAATATGTTTCGAGTTCGAAGCGAGGCTATGTAAATTCATGGTAATACCAACGGCTACCCCGTCGAGAAAGAGAGAGAGAGAAGAGTTTCGATTCCTGTTGCGAGGAGTTAAATGAACGGTAGGAAATTAAACGGGGAAAATTCGTGAGTGAGAATAGGCGAACGATAGAGTATCAGATGTCTAAAAGTAATAAGAATGGTGCTCTAAATTCTTTTCTTTAATTAATAATTGATCTGCCGAATTTTCTTGACAGTTCAAATCATTCCCTTATAAGAGGCTAGAAATGGACGATGAATGGAAAAGAACAGATTGATAGAAAAGGAATAGAATGAAAGAAAAATGAGACACCAGCAGGGAGGACTAGAGAGGCTAGAAAGAGGAGGAAAGCGAGCAAAGCCCGAAGAGGGTAGCAAGCGCGTATTTCATGAACCCCTAAAGCAGCCCTAAGCATTGCTGCAACCGCCACAATCCCATTCATTCTCTTTATGGGCTCCCAAGTATTCGGGAGCGGGCTTGAATAAATCGGAAATTTGCCCCGGGGAACGGCCCACCCCCGTCTCTCCGCGATTTACCCACGACTTTCGAACTGGTCATTCGCGTTTACCACCCTCCATGTGTAACGAGCTTTAGCACGACTTGTCATTTTGTAACCCGTACAAGCGATAACTTTTGCTCGAATGCGTTCGTACAGGTAACTAATTGGCGTAGAAATTGTGTATGAATTTCAATGAATGCATACGCATTCACAATAGATGTACATATTAACCCTCGGACGGCGGACCACAGAGAGAATCCCAATTTTAATTTAACTTTGTATTTCATATCATTTTAATTTTCTAAATTTTCCATGATTTCTTTAAAAATTATTCTTAGTATGTATGAAACCCTTTCGTTCAAAAATAATTTATTTAACTTTAGGTTAATATCCTTGGATAAGTGTTATAAGCTTGGCTCTGCTGTTCAAGGGTTAATATGGCACTTTGTCAGCTATCTCATTTATACCTAGATGCTTAAATTTCAATAAGAATTCATTACTTATATTATTAGGAATTCTTCAACTTACCTAATTAAAATATTTATATTAAATATTTAAAATGATGGGTAATATAAATAACAAAATATTGTAAAAATAGTAGAAAGAATTTATTCGAAATAAAAATGTCAACACTTTCAGTGTGACAATCAACAAATAAACAGAAACGTTTCAATAAATGGTATTTCCTGTAAAATTCATATGGGTTTCTATCACGCTCAATTTGTCATCGTGACACAATTGATAAAAGTGAATGGAAATCGAACCTCGGACGAACCGATGCGCGTAATGAAAAACGGAAACGGAATACACCAACGGGGAAAGTAAACTTCTCCCCGGCGAATATTGCACGAAAAGACGGATACGATGTGTCCTGCGACACGGTTCCCTCTCTGAACGGCTATAATTTGAAACGGTGAAACGTTACCCTTTAGCTGCAGGCTATTTGGCGGTTTCTCCAGATTCCATTGGCTATCCCTCTAGGATAGCCTGTCGGCCCAGTTTACATTTGGCTTCCTCTGCCTCGAAAAGGGAGGTATTTCTGTTCCGCACACAGGGTGCGGTTACTTAGACCGAAGCCATGCTAGTTTAAGAAACACTATGCCACTTACAAGGAGAACTCCCTAAATGTCCTACTCTATATCAGATTTTAGTTAGCCTCCATACGTTGATAGTTGATAGTATTGTTATTTATGATTCGAAATGGGTACACGGCGTATTCGCACGACAAATACTGAAAATTGAACGTACAGTTCTGATTGTTCGTGTAAATTTGAATTTTCAGTGAAAGGGCGTAAAATTGTTACATTACTCTGCGGTACAGTTTCACAGCTGTCGGCGAAGCTTTCAATCTCCGCGAAACAGCGTCGCATAATTAATTCCGCTCGCTTGGTAATTGCGCAGCTTCAACGTAAGCGCTGTTTGTAATTTAATCGTATTACCAGTGCCTCAACAAAGACAGGTACACTTAGATCATGCTCTATTGCATCATGAATTCCAATAAACTAGAAAAGTTCCTCGATTGTTATTTCAAGCAGAATTACAACAAAGTAAAATTGTAATTATTCGGAATATGATCATTTCATTTTTCAATATTTATTTTTTATTTACTATCTGTCAAAATTATACAGGGTGGCTTTGAGATAGCTTTAAGATAATTGTATCAAACTTTTTGTCAACCCTTCTTTTCACAGTTATCAAGGTTACCTTCAGTTTTTTATAGGTAAACCTACAATTTTATTACACCCTTCTTTTGGGAAATATTGAGACGAATTCGGCAAGCACCATAAAAAGTATTTCTTCTTCATCTAACCAAAGAAATATTAAAAAAACATCATTTACCTTAATTGAATCGATGCTTAAAATGGTATCTAAAAGTTCTCCTTGAACCATGTTAATTTAGCTAAAAAAACCGCTAACAGCAAAATAATCTAAAGCTGATCAGGCTTTATGGTTCAGCCTGTATAATATTATTATTATATAGACTCCTTTACAACTTTCTTTTCTTTAGATTGTATTATATTTATAGAGTCACTCATCGGTGCCCCCTACACCATTCAACTTAATTGTCAGCCCTCGTGCTAAGTCACGACAGCGTTGATCATTAAACACCTTTCATCTTTTTCCGCTCGCATCCCATCATCATTTCTATTGTATCCCGAAAGTCGAACAAGAACACGTGAATATCAGTTTGTCCCAGCCATTTCCGTTTTCGTTCAATCCGCCCGGTCTTACGCTTCTCTCGTTCACCCCTTCGCGTCGCGCTGGTCTCTTTTTTTTTTTTTTTTTCATTTCCCACTTCACATATTCATACGTCGCTCTTTGCTTACAATAAATGCGGACCATTTGCATGTAGGGTCTCTGTTCGGCAGCGAATCCGTTCTCCTCTGCTCTCTCAGCCCATTTCTGTCCGTCTCACTCGCGCCGTCGATAGGTTGGGTGTCCTGGGGCGGTAGCTCGGTTCGGCCACCCCTCCGCGGCTCAACTCCAGCGCGATAAGCCGCCCCCGGGGATCCGCGATTGTCTCGATTTATATGCATGCACAGAGACGTAGGTGGTGGGCCGTGGCTGCGGGTACACTGTCCTGGCAGGGGTGGGTGGTTAGGAAGACAGGGGTGGCATCGAGGGTGGAGTAGATGCGACCGTCAATAGATCGATTCTCTTGGCAGACAGTAAATATCGCTGATGAGCCGGTCCAGTCGTCGACGATTGGGACCTAGGGCCGGGCTTTTCAGGGGTTGGGGTGCTTACCCTGCGATTTGTCGAGTGGCAGGAATCCTCGTACTACTCAGCACCGCCATGCAGGCTCACCCCATCCTTCCGACGCACCACCACCATCGCACCGTTTTCACTCTTTATCCGCCGTTCGACCATTCTTTATTCCCGCGATTTTTGTTTTTACGCTCTCCATCGGAGATCCGGCGAGCGGAGTCATCCGGTGCCTTGGGAGGCTACCGGCCTGGGATTAACGCGCTACCGGCTAATTTCTTCCCCTTTTTATTTTATTTTATTTTTTTTTTTTTCGCTTTCTACCACCAGGGAAAAATTGTTGCGAACGAGGGACCTCCCGCGTGCGTCGGAACGATTATCCGAATTAATTCGGAAATGTCTCTTTAACGACCGTGTCCGCCGGTATTTTTCATTCTTCATCGGCTGACTTACGATTGATTTTAGACTTTGCTTAAGCTGCTTATACTCGTCGGAATATGTTACGATGCGCGCATAATATTAGGTTTTATGAAACTGCAACAAAATTGCTTCTTACTTATCAGCTGAAATGGTCTTCTGATTTCTATATTGATACAGATTTTAATATTTCTAGGTTAATGGGAATATGGATTTTCATGACTTACATTTTGCTGTATTTTTATTTACAGGTATCACTGTGCGACGATTACAGTCTGCCAGTGGATTTCGTGAACAAAAGACGTCCCGCAAGCGCTGCAGCTGCAACATCCACGGTGCAATGGGCCCTACCTAGTCCTACCATTGAAAACGTGAGTGTTTATTAATTTATAATTATTCAAACACATCGTAATTGAACGCGATCTCGAAAGGAAGGTCCAGAGAAATCTTCTGTTCTTAACCCAATCGTGGTTATTTCGACCCCAGTCTTCGGCATCGATTTAGGATTCACCGTGTCGTTTAACGGCAGTATTGACATTTTCTGTCGTCTGACGGTCGAAGAATTGGTTGAAGGGAGAAATATAATTACGATGGTGACAAAATACCCGCTGGGCATGATGGCATAGAGGGTATACGGGGGCGTGGAAAAGCTGGAAGAACGTTTCGCCAGGCGATAGAGTAGGAAGAACGAGCGAACGAACGGAAGGACGAAGGGAAGCGTGCGAGTAGGGCGGTCGAAAGGGGGCAAAGGATGAGGCTGACTTCCGGCGGTGCTTATAATTGTTCCAGCACTCAGTTTCTGGTGCTCAGGCTCGCCCCGAGCGCAACGTCTAAATGCTTGTGAAGTTGAAATACAGCTCACCTTGACTATACTTCCTGGTGTCCTCGTTGGAACGTCACATCTCGGCATTTAGTGGTGCTATCTCGTACGTGGGCTTGCATGTTAGCTTCATTTTCTCTCCGGAAGTGACTTTTCACGTGAAATTGGGTCTCCCGTAGTTACGACGGCAAATAGAAGGTCGTAACGCCAGAATTAACATAAAACGTTCGCTCCGTCTCGTACGACGACGTGAAAAATTATTTAAATTATTTAAATCCTTAACAAAATGCATTGGAAACATTTTAAAAGGGCCAAGTTAAAAGCACCATCAGACAGAAAGGTTGCAATTCGTCTTTACCGTCATCAAGAAATTGCAAACTCGGTCCAAGACGAGACATAAAAGTGAGGATAGCGTTGCGTTGGTCGCGAGGGAGGAGTCGTAAAGACGAAGAAGAAGACGATGGAAAGAAGCGTCGGTGTCGAGGTGGAGGGGTTCGAGACACCTGGTAGCATCGAACAAAAGTTTCCTTCGCCTCGTTGTCACCGTGGCATCCCTCGGCGAAAGTGCTCGTCGCAATAGCAAGCGGCACGGCGGAGGGTGTGAGAAAGAGCGACAAAGAGAAGGCAACGGGCGCCACTTGATTCAGGAGGGTGAATCGTTACGACTCCCGCTCGTAAGCCCTACTTAATACTTTACCGCTTTATTTTATGCGCGAGGTCGGCCACGGCTGTAGGTCGCATTTATCACTCCAACAAAGAACCTTACCTCGAGAAAGTTCCACCGTGCGCGAGCACGCCTATCGCATTGAAAATTTCCCGCTACTCGCTGGCGAAAGTGAAACGGGGGATTTATAGTTTCCTAAACGCGACAGGTCTTCGTGGTTTCGTATCATGTTTAACTGTCGCTTGCTGAATCGTCTGTCAGCGTTACGAGAAACACTAGATCAGGGTATTGTTGCGGATTGAATCAGAGTACAATAGATTCAGTTATGATTTATATTGCTTTCGACTTTCAAGGGCTCTCTTCTTTAAGACTTCTGAATATAGTGTTATAATTGAAGCATTTGTATCGAGATCGTTATTTCAGGATCGATTTCTTTGTATGTTGAAATATATAAGGACTCCTAGAAAGGACCTGCATTGGTGTAGATCCTTCTTCTAGGTAATAAACGTTGTTGTCGAGAGTTATGGTCTCTCGTTACGTTCCTGTTATTTATGACACTCTGACCACCCTCGTATTTTCGTGAGCTGACTTTCAGAACGTTCTACGTACATATTGACAGTTAGATGTATGACTTTGCTCTTCCAGCTTCTATATATACATACAATTGAACTATCGATGCTATTTCTCAAATGCAGTCTTGAATACTTCTGGCAAACATAATAACTGCAAGTTTTCAAACAATAGTGGAATATAAAAATAATTGGAATAATAATTTCGTTGGATCTAGGATTCACAAGTATCTGATTTTTCTTTTTATATTTCTGATATTATCGCATGGCTGAACGCGTTCTGAAGAGTATATCACCCACGTTCCCAGCATCCAAACTTTGCAGGCTAAGCTCCTCCACAGGGTGATTCGTCAGTTCTTAGAAGAAGTACATTATGCAAGATCACGAAGCTTCTCAAGGTTGCGAACGATGTCCCGCTTTTTGATTCAGCTCGCGATGTTACATTGGTGGTTAGGCAGCGACCGTTTATCGATTTTATTCCTGTGTAAAAAGAAGAAAGAAATAAGTCCTTTCGTTGCAACACGATATCGAATAATTCAGGAATGAACGTTTAGAAATCCACGCAATAATATCTCGTTTGTGCATTTCCTGCATTCCACTAATGCAACGCAAATTGCTGGATGCAGTGAAAGTCACGCACCTGATAAAGTAGAGAGATTACAGGCCAGCTGATAATTGGGGTCAATTATAATACAGCGGCCGGATAATCCGATTAAAGTCTACTAAACTGGGATTATTGGTTCATCGGTAATGTAGTTGTTCTTGATGACTGTGGGCCAGAATGATCTGAGTTTGCACTGTTGATTATTTACAAAGAGTTGTAACAAAAATAAGGGAACAATAAGGTAGCAATAAGAATCTATGATATTTAACACGTTAGATGCCACATTGAACATAGACGAATATGGAACAGTATACTATAGTTTCATTTTCTTCTTACCATTTTCCGAAATTAATATAATATTAACACCTTGATCAGCACCGCAAATTAAGAAAAAACTGTACAAAAACATTATTTTAAATAATACTACTATTGTACAAATAATGTAAAATAGAAAGCTTGCAATTTGAAAATTAACTACTCCTATTTTTAATAATTTGAGCTTTAATAACAGATGCCCATTTTTACTATGGCATTCAACGTGTTAATGTTGTTTATGAAGTTCATAAAATTCTTTTACCTAATTAATGAACCCATATTAGTATTGATATTTCACTAAAATAATTCTACGTTCGAAGAGAAAAATGGAAATTCGATACCCCATCTATCTTGATTCGCGTAATCGTTGTTTTATATTCATCACCCATTGGGGAAAATTTCGATATTCATCAGAGACCCGATAATCGAGCAATTTTTTCCCTTGTTTATCTTCTCTAGCCAGTCTTAGTAATTACTCAGCTATAACGTTCTTCCTCTTTTCTTTTGTTTCATACAGAATTTATTTAAGTAAATAAATTATTGGTTTATCACGGTGATACATCACTATACGATAGGAGAATGTCAAATTTCAGTGTACACAATGTTTAGGAAAAATAAACACCAATTTTCTTGCCATCAATCATATTGTTCAAACACATTCCCACATGGTGATCTTTTCTTTCTTGTAACCTGATACATTTATTAATAGGATCGATTTTTCTAATACTAATAAATTCTTACTGACAATATTAGAAGCAATCAACAATTATAATTAATTGAATTTCATAAGTGTTTCAAAAATCGAAATTGGTATATCCATTTTCAACCCCAGATTAAAGAACCCACTAGACATTTTTGCGTTCTTGATTTAAGATCGAATCAGTCACTGTATCATCAGATCTGCATCAGTCGATCGAGTCGCTTCCTGTAACAGTGTGCTGTTTCTTCCGGTTGGAAGTTGCCCTCGTAATTTCCGTATAAACATCCACGAATTTATCAGTAGCAAGGAGACGAAGAGGTGGGTGGTGCGAGGTAGAAGGCAATCGGCTTCGTGTTCGAAACAGCCCCCGGGGGCACGACGCTCAACTTTGGCAGGAGAATTCCAATTTTGGCCTCTTTCAATTTAAGACTACTTGTCTTCCTTCGTCTTCTTCTCGTTCGTTGGCTGCCGACTGCCGTCATTTCAATTCGTCTTTTCCTTTTCTTTGCCTCCTCGAGCCAAGCTCCTCGATTCGTGATACAACAACCCCCGTACGCCACGTACCGAAAGACGGGGTGAGTTTCGCCATTGATCAGACGCCTTCTTCGAGAACTCGAGCCTCCTTCGTCTTCGTCCTCTACCCCTGTTGCGTTCGCCGTTCAGACTACGGCCGATCGTTATTGCTTTTATTATCGTTATTATCATTAAGATCGAAAGTTAGCGGAATTCTCCTCGGGGAAGGTAGAGGTTTTTGTTGAGCGACGGAGGGTTCAATGAAACGCCCCCTATTGTGTACACACGCTTCGTTAGTCCTATAATAAGGAAGACATTATTCAAAATATTTTTTTTTTTAATGATAGTGATTGGATTTGGGTAAACAGAAAAATTTGTACAAATTTATATCGTGTACTTTTTATTTTTTTTAGATAATTCTTATTAAAATCTTATAAGATTTCATTAACGTCAGAATTTTAATGAGGATCACTTAATTTTCACTCATGTATAAAGTTTCTTCATAAATTCTATTGTTAAATGACTACACTTATTCTCTCTACGAAACAAGTCGTACGAATCTGTTCGTTATTCCGGCAACGTGCAAGAGGTCCCATTAATTCGTCGGAACGTTAAATGCCCTTTATTAAGAGAACGGATTACAAGTAATTTCAGTCGACTGGGTCCCGCGATATTTCCCTGGGACGTTGTCACAGTACCAAACACGTTGCAGTTGTTTTCTCTCGAAATAACGATCATTTAGGGTGAAAGCTAAAAATGTTTATCCTCGAGCCGGTCTGGCCGAGGCATTACCGCAATTGGCTGCGTTCAGTGCTGGGAATTGCGTTGAAGCTAACGTGTCGCGTGCTTAGTCGAAGAAACTCCTGCAATAACCCTTGCTGATGGCATCCCCCAAAGGGACGAAGCTGGACGTTGTTAGCGTTGCGCGAGCGCCAACCTCGCAGTTCGCTGCCAAATTGCTATTGTTACCGAGTCGATAATTTCTATCGTTAAACTAGCTGTTGTTTGTTTTCCACTTGCGCGAATCTCATTTCCCAGATAAGTTCTTCGCGGAAAATTACAAAGTTTCTTCTTTACGAAGATCCGCTTCGAGGAAGGACACAAATGGTGTGGGGAAAAATGGAATCTAAGCGATTCGATTAGTTCTAGATGATAGTATAGATTCGTAGAATGCTTTGAACTTTATTAGTAAAGCTTTTAGCCGCGATACCGCTTTGGATCGTGACGGAAGGAAACCATTCTCTGCTCTGTTTTCAGGCGGAAGTGGAAGTTGTGGAACAGTATAGCGATCCAAGGGATAGTAAGAACAAAGCGTACGTCGAGCCAGGAGCAGAAACATCCTTGCCGACGATTTACAGCAAAGTAAATCTCAACTATTGTCGACCATACACTGGTAAGTTGTGCATAAGTTTCGGCGTATACTTGTGCATGCGAGTTTTCTATCTCAATAGCACGTAAGTTGCTGGGAGATGTTATCGAAAGGACGAGTTTAAAAACCTTTATAGAAAAATATTAATGAAATGTTTGTATAATTATTTTTTACAAACATTAAGCTTTAAATTGATATATCATGAGTGCTATTTTACGATACTTTTATCTCATAAAATTATGTCAAACTTTTAATATGTTGAATTTGGTCATTTGACACGATATAACTTAATGATATAAATTGTCTTTAACGAATTCACACGGATTAAACGTATCGAACGAGTACTCGGAATAACCTTCTAATAAATAAACGCGAACAGTTGCTCATAAATCGCGGATTTATCCTGGTGTCTGGATGATAACCAACGCTCGTTTCCGGCTCTGCTTATCGATTGGAACCGTACTCTGGCCAATTTTCTGCCAAGCGACTGTCATGCTTCCTCTAAGCCTGGTATCCTTTCTCGCCAGTCTGATCTTGTACATAATACAGTCCTGAATAAATATCACGGTGCAGGGATGATTGGTCAAATGTTTGAGCCAAAAATTCGCCGGGAGTATTGATCCGGTTGGAGTATCCGTTGCAATGATACTTGTTACAATTTCAATTAACAAAGACACTGAATTTTGGGTTGAAAGATTGCACTCATCGAATGTTAATTAAAAAGGAGCGACAAAGTGGTCAAGCTTCGTTTATGAAAAACAGAGAATGGGTACGGGATTTTTTCAATTTCGATGCTCAGCGACGAGGTTTAAATTGACTTGTCGTCCGCGTACAACCGGCTGCAAGTTTCGGATTATAGAGTTAACAGAAATTCCCGTGTCGAGCCGCAAATTAATGCGGCGAACCCTCGACGATACGGCCGATACTCCGATGTACGAATTATCGAGGCAACAACTCAGTTAACGCAGAGTAAGAGAGGCGGAAGAGCCCCTCGATAATTGAACGGCGCGCACAGTTTGGTCCGGGAAAGCCAGTAGATTATTCGATCGTTTCCGAAACGAAAGGGAAACGTTTCTTTTGTTGTGTACGAACTTACTAAAAAGTTCGTACAGATTTAAAAAAAATATTCATAGGCTCCAGTGGACAATAAGATTAATATTTTTTAAAGCATTATTTATTGAATTCATTTGATATGAGAAGATTTCTTGTTAATTCACTTAACTAAAACAATTTTCCAAAATGAAAGCATCGTTCCCTCGAAATGTTTCAAAATTTCGGTTTGTAACTAAGCCTGCGGTTACCTGGCTTGCAGATACGTAACGGCGCCGGGTATAGAAGTTCTTCGTGTTTCATTTACGAGTGTTTCAACACTCGGTTATGGAGATTGCCGGGTGACGCTGATCCTGGGTAAACGTCGGATAGAATTTGCATCCTTACCATATTCATGGGCTTTTAATTCGTACGGGCTGCGCGAACCTGGGCAGGGGTCAAGTTGCCGAAAAGACCTGAGTAAACTTGCCGGGGTAAACGTTTGTGATCCTGCAGGAGGATCACGGGCGCGCGCTCTTTGATACGACTTCTTGCCACGACCCATTCTAATCGAGGAGCAGGGCGTGTTTGCTCGAGACAAGGCCATTTCCGTTTGCGGTGTCATAAATAATGGATGACCGGTGGAAACTAATCGGTTGGTTAATCCTTGCTGGACGAGTTGAACGGTAGAAGAGCCGATGTATCGTTCAGTTTAGGTGATCTTGAGAAAATTTGAGAAAATATCGATGACACCTGTTCAATTATTTCTGTCAGAAATTCGAAGGCGACCATCTGTACCTCTGCTACCTCGACGACAATCTTCACTCGAATCGAATCGTCAGTTACACGGTTGTTAGGGAGAAAATGAGGGTGGAGCAGGGTATGGTCAGTCGGAACAGCATTTCCAGAGACGATTTATAAACGGGATACGAGTCGAACCGTCTGGACCGATCCTGTCTCCGCCTATTTCCGGCTACTGGAACCGTGTGTGGTCCACTATCAAGGTTCGTTTCGTTGGAAGTTTTCGGTGGCAGGGCGTGCGGCTGACGTTGCTTGCCACCGACACCGACCTCGCCCCATAATATGTCGTGTGATATTTAATTAAACCTCCCACCCAGCCGGTTACTTCCGTGGCTCCCTTGCTCATCCGACCTGCCCTCGTTCCGTTGCTCGCAGTCTGTAAAGTTTCAAGGGGTTCTACCTCGTGCCCCCCTCTCTCTCCTCCCGCACTTATTAACCGTTTCAACAAGTCCCCTTGACACGGGATTTTTCTTGCCCTCTCCTCGGCCGTCCGAAGTAATTAAAAATCGACCGATTAAACCTAATGAAGTAGAACGGAATGGAAGAGGCGCGGAGATTTCTCGTTAAGCCTCGGCCAGATGCCAATGTTACCGGCGATTTTATTTCCATTTACCTTCGTTTACTTACCTGGCCTCACGATAAGTTGCAAGGTTTGCTTTCTCTAGGGGGGGTTGCTCTTTGGTTTTATCTTCAGGTATGTTTGCTATTTTTTTATTTCTATTTCTTTAGCTAATGGGACGGTGGAAAGTATACTCTAGAAGGTACAAAGTTTAAACGAATTTTCTGCGACTTCGATCTTTCGATAGCCCTTGAAATTACCGTGACAGCAGGATCGGAGGGATTTGAAGGACCACTCTTTGAAACTTTCTCGCGCTTTAAGGTGAAGGAGCACTTTGAAATTCAGGACAAATGCATTTTCTCGAAATTATTTTTAAAATATCGTGGTTATTTTGAACAGTAATTAACTACGAATGTTAATTAATTTGTAAAATTGATTGGTCCAGATGGGAAACGTGTCGGATCCTTTGAAGCCGTCCAAGACCGCGAAAGTAATTGTGTAAAATGGACAGTTGTAGATTGTAGTCGCGTTAATCAACGTTTTCGTCCCTTCCCGGATGAAAGTACCAGCTTCGTCATTACTCGAACGATGAAAGAACTTTCTCCTATAGTGATTGTCTCTTGGAACGACCCTCGTGGAAGTTACCCTCGTTTCAATTACCGGTACCAGGTGACTTGTAGCTCGTTTCCGCGTCCCCGAGCAGTTAACGCTGCTGCGAGTTCATCGTATGCAAATGACAAGCCGTCCGTCCGTCCGATCGTCCGTTTGTCCGTTCATCCGTTGCTAGTGTGACAGGGGGGTTGCTTGATTCACATCAAACGCTGGCTAAATGCTCTCTATTGTCTCAGCTGTCTATACGTTAGGGTGTATTAAATAATCGCGATGGAAAGTAATTATCATCAACGATCATTGCTATTTTCCAGCAAGTACTTGATGTTACAAAATTTATCGTTTAATTCACAGCAACCAGATGGAATTATCTCGAACATTTCCCATAATGTTCCCACTATTCTCTCACAGCGGAACGCTTATCTTCTCCCTCGCGTTGTTACCCATCATTCTGCGGATGACTATATTTCAATGGAACGTTAAGCTCGATAGAATGAACCGTTGTATCATACCGGAGCGATGCTCGGCAGACATTAAGGGTTTCCTATGTTTACGACATCGCGATTCGCCAAGCGACAGTTTTAGTATTCCGGTAGCAGCGGGGCGCGAGGGTGAAAAGTTTGTTGAATTGCCGCGAAGATGAATAGTTAACAGGCGTCCTCCATCCTTTACCCCGTTCCCTTTCCCGGTAATCCAAATTTCCGTCTTCTGCCGTACCCCTCCTTCCTCCTTCATTCATTTCCCCTCTCTGTTCCATATTCGAGGAGAGACCGACCGCCTCCTCCCACCTTCCCGGTTCTCGCTTTCTCGCGCGGTAAACTAGATCATTTACAAACTGTCAACGGCATGGTTCCGCTTCTGCTCGACGTCGGACGGCAAGTACGTGTCGGATCTTGAAGAGAGATCTTAATCCGTCGCGAATTTCGCAAAGTTAAATTCGCGTGTCCCTCGGCGAGCAGTTTTCTTTCAGACGATCAACGTTTTGAAAGGGAAAATGTATTTCATTATATCGTATTTTGAATGGAACGAATGATAATCGAAGTAGTCGATAGGATTCGTTAAAATTTAGACGAAATTTAATTACGAGGAAACGAAATTGATCGGGACAGAAGCTGGAAAATGAAATGAAACTGGGCTTTTGTTTCGATGGTTGCTCGAACTGTGGTTTCCCTTGAAACTTCACCCTACCTCGTCCCGTTCTCTGTTCCGTAAATAAAATAAAAGACAGCAATTTAGCGCGAATCGCAATTCCATTATCGAGTCCCATTCTAATATATTAACGGACCGTCACTCGGTGGACATTATTGGCATTTTGCAGTAGCCATTGGCGAACGAATCAACATCGTAACCCTATCATTTCGTTTCGCATACCGTGAAATCAAACTCTCTGTATTCGCTCGTTTAATATTCTCCCCATGGTGACCGTCGTTTCGTATAATATATTTTGAAATCTATGAGTTTCTGGTATCCGAAAATTTCTTGTTATTATAAATTGGCCGAGCATTTTTTATTTAATCTATGCTGAACAGCGTTAAATTTGCTAAATTTCATAAATTTTTTTAATGTCTTACAATCCCATGAACCCATTGTTCCAGAACGATGGAAACAATGATCTTCTGATAAAAGTGATAAATGAATTTCTTTGATCCAACGTTATTAACTTTCGGTTCGTTAAACGATACTAGAGTGAATTCTTTGTCGACAAATAATTCCTTCAGAGCTGAACGAAGCTTTGTTCCCGTTTTATCGCGCGACGAAACATTTCCTTTCGCAAGGGCTGCCGAAACGAGGTGGAAAGAAAATTTTCAAACAAACCATCGCCATTTTCCCCGGCTAAACGAGGAGGCATGGAGCCAAAGGTTGGCAGTAAGGACGTTGCGTCCCTACGCCAACATTGGAAGGGTCCCTGAATTCATTTCATGGCCAATTACAATTAGCATTTATGCCGCGATTTGCATACCGTTGCGAGATAATACCGTAAACGCTTAGCCTAATCTCTGTGTCATGAGTTAGCCAGGATGGCAAG